TTTATCTCCTGTTCTGCATTTTCACATTTTGCTTCTCTCATTTCTGTTCCTGCGCCATTAATAATAAATTAATCAATATTATTTATTATTACGATGACGATGATGTTGTTGTTAATGATGATGATGATGATGATGATGATGATGATGATAATGATGATGATGATAATGATGACGATGACGATGACGATAATGATGATTGTACATATTTATGTTTAGAATTATAAATATTTTATATTTAAATTTAATTTTCAGCTTACATTTATTGAGATTTTTATTTTATATTATTATATATTAAAAAAAACTTAATAACACGTAATATTTAGTACATATTATATGTATTAATTTTATATATATAATAAATATTTTTATAAAATGCCCAGATGTAAGATAGAACGTATAGTATAGAAGAAGAAGTAGACCTTCAACAACGTCATGAACAATAGATAGAAAATCAACGTCGTCGACGGCAGGCTGTAAGAGAAGCAGCAAGCAGCAATTCCAGTAATTATTTGTTGAATATAGTAAAAGAAAATATTTTATTGTTGAAATGAAAACGTGCAGAATATCAATCACAATAGATCATAAATAAAAAATCATCCTTGTTTAAATATTAATAGTACATTAATTAATGAAATAAGTGAATTTTATATTGGTCCTATGGATGTATCTTGTATTCATTGTAACGCAAAGCATTTTGCAGCTGAAAAAATATCTAATAAAGGAAATTCATTTCACGATTGTTACAATCACGGTGTGGTATACTTGGAACCATTGCCTGAACTTCCACATTTTCTTCTTAGTTTATTTGATGGCAGTCAAATAAACATTGGATTCAAAATCCAATTACTTTTTCTAACATATTCGTAATTATAATAGTTCATTTTTATTTGCGTATTTAAGACATATTCGTAATTATAATAATTCATTTTTATTTGCATCTTTTAATGCTAATTTGATTAATTTTCGAGGAAGGCGACCTGGTCCTTACTGTTTTAAAATACAAGGACAAATTTATTATCAAATTAATACAGCATTATATGCTGCACAAAATGAAAATCCAACGTACGATCAACTTTTTATTGTAGATTCAAATGAAGCAATAGATCATTATCTTAATCAAAATGAACATTTAGATTTTGAAATTGTACAGAATCTTGAACATATAATGCGCGAAATTAATTTATTTGCTCAATCATATCAAATGATAGGTGAGGAAATAGAAAATCGGCGACAATCAGCATCTGAATTGTTACCAGAATTACAATTATTATTTACCTTAAAAGAATAGATCGACGTCGATATAATGCGCAATGAACGAATAAGGTTGCTGCTATTTTGTCTACTACTGCTGATGGAGAAATTCCAGAAACATATGTTATAATACGTAATAAGAATACTAAAACTTTACAGAAAGTTAGTATTATGGATCCTAACGTTAAACCATGGATATATCCATTGTTTTATCCATATGGTACTCAAGGATGGCATCGTCATTTAACAAAATTAAATAGTAATAGACGAATAACTAGAGGGAAATATGTAAAGTATCGCATGGCTATTCGTGAAGACTTTAATGTTTTCTTATCAGGACGACGCTTATTCCAACAATGGCTTGTAGATAATTATATAAAAATTGGAAAAGATAGAACAGATTACTGCAAAGCTCATCAGAAAGAATTACGCTTTGAGACATATCAAGGTTTAATAGATTATATGTAAACTAAAAAAACTAAAAACTCTTCCTAAGTATATCAATATTTAACATAAAGGACAATAAGAGTTCAAGCACAGGTTGAATACTGCTATTAAAACTATTAAAAAATAGTACCCAATCTCACAATGAGACGAAATTTATTAATTATCAAACGCGTTTCAGTCTAATTTCATAGACCCTCTTCAGTGATTACAAATAATATTTAAGTGTCGCAAAAATAAAAAAGTCGCAATAGTTGGTATTACAATGGTTGTTACAAAAAAAGAAACTGTCGCTACAAGTTTTTGCCTACGGGATTCGGAAGCATCAACGTAAATAATCATTTAGACAAAGAAATTTTTCCTGGAAGATATTAGTAATTTATTCTAAGATTGGTTACTCCATCGCACGTACTAAGGTGCTGTGGTGTAATCATCTAAAAAAACGTATTAAGATAGAGTAACCAAACCAAACGTGAAGAAAAAATAATGATATATATTTCAATAAAAGATAGTAGAGTTCTAGTGAGATATTGAGCTAATGAACGTGTACCTCCGAATGTCGCAAACAATACAGAATTATGTGTTTATATTTACTTGGTACGAATTGAAAACGAAAAAC